GTTACTGTTTTGGGGAAACTTGTTCAGGGGATCAAGACTTTTTGGCTCGTGGACAGTAGCCCAGAATTTTCTCACCAGGTGGTGCTAGTAAACGTGTACAATTCTCGCGTATGCTATAGCTCGAGATCCTGAACAGGTAGAAAATTACTGTCTTCGAAAAAGTTGTTCATGAGGTCAATACCTATTGCTTGGTGCACAATAGTCTAGAATTTTCACACTACGTGGCGTTAGTATACACGCGAAATTCTCGCATGTAAAATTTCTCGAGGTTCTGATCAGATAGAAAGTTGCTGTCGTCGACAAAATTGTTCAAGAGGTCATAACTTTTCCGCTAGTGAAAAGTAGTTCAAAATTTTCTCACTACGTAGCGCTAGTATACACGTGAAATTCTCACATTTGGTTTGTATCGAGATCCTGACCAAATGGAATGTTACTGTCTTGGGCAAAGTTGTTCAGGGGGCCAAAGCCTTTTGGCTGGTGTACAGAAATTCAATTTTTTTTTCACATCATTGTATTTGCGCTTGTATACACGCACATACATTAGATATATATTCCGATACCTGCTAAACTGTCATCGGCAAAGTTGTTCAGGAGATCAAAACTTTTTCGTTGGTCGACAGTACAGAATTTTCTCACTACGTGGCGCTAAGATATACGTGAAATCTTCGCATATATATATCTCGAGATCCTTAACAGCTAAAAATTTACTCTTTTCGGCAAAGCTGTTAAGGAGATAAAGATCTTTTGGCTGATGAAAAGTAGTTCAGAAATTTCTCAAAACATGGCGGGCGATTCTCGCATATCAAATATCATAAAATAATCAAATATCATAAATATCATATTACAATTTACATCATCCTAAGTGGGATAAGACAAATCTATTCTGGATTTCTTTTACCGGTGAAGATTTTCATGCAGATTAGTGGATACAGAAATTGGGGTGAGTCGTTCCATTTGTATACCTCTGATAAATTAGTGGTGACACGTATCTCAGATGGAAAACATTATCTTAAAAGATCAATATCGCTGAAACTTCCACCAAATTAATGTTTAGAGTCTCCCTTTCATTTTAAACTAATTTCAAATTGTCTTATCGAGGGGTCTAGAACAAAAAAATCCTTGTATTTACGTGTGCACGGACAACGAGACTAACTCAGAAAGTGAGGCAATTTTGCTCAGTTAAATGGAGAAATTTATAAAACCGTACACTCCCGATTATATGTTTAAGGACACCCAAAAAACATGCAAATGTGTTATGTTCATATCTTTGTCATTTTACGTCCAATTTTCGTTTTTTAAAACATTTGAAAGATTTTGAATGGAAATAAGAAGAAGCAAATTGCTCAATATGATTTTCAAAACATGAGAGAGCTTTGAACAAAACACATTTGCATATATTTTAGGGTGTATTTAAGCTTATGATCGGTAGTGTAGGTTACTCAGCGCTGAGTGAACTACGATTTTGGAAATTTCTCCAGACAACTGAGTGACATAGTGCTATGGCTCGACTGGCTAACTCGTGTGTATATATTTTATACATTTTACATTACATTACACATTTTAGACGAACTGAGTAGATCCTTCTCGTTTAGATTTAGTATAAGGTGTATGTAACCATAAATTCGACGTCACACTCTTAGCAGCGTAGGAATAACGGTATAATGAAAGAGATGATAATTTCATATTATCAGGCCTTTTCTTTATGACTTTGGATGTACCTACACACTTAGACTTTTTGCCGAGATGGGCACCACCAAGCAGCTCGGTATTTTATTTTGCTGGATTTCAATGAAAAATTTGCCACGTGGTGAGAAAATTCTTAACTACTGTCTACCAGCCAAAAAGTCTTGACCTCCTAAACAACTTTGCCGAAGACAGCAACTTTCTAGCTGATCAAGATCTCGAGCTGAATAAACGAGAAATGCACGTTTATACTAGCGCCGCATAGTATAAAAAATTCTGAACTATTGTCACCCAACAAAAAGATCTTGACTTCCTGAAAAACTATACCGAATACATTTACTTTCTATCTGGATCTAGAGATATTTTATATGCGAGAATTTCACATGTATAGTAGCGCTGCGAAGTGAGAAAACTCTGAACTACTGTTCACCTGCGGAAAGGCCTTGATCTCCTGAACAACTATGTCGAAGACAGTACCTTTCTATCTGGTTGGGAGCTCGAGATATTTTATATGAGAATTTCACGTTTATTTCGGCCAACCAATAGGCATTCAACCTGAAACGAATTAAAATGATTAATTACTTAATACTTAAAAATCTATCTAGAATTTGTCTTACTACCAAGCGACTGCAGCAGCAGAAAATTAGATTTGTTTTGATTCTGCTGAATTGACAGCAACAATATATGCTCCACAATAGTAGTAGTAGTTTAGTATTAGTAAAATAAGATGAATATCGACTGAGTTACATGGGTTAACAATGAGTTCACACTCGGTCAAACACTCAAAACTTGCATGCAAGTTATTAGAAAAGGAAAGAAGACAATCTTAACTTGTGTATTAAATTGGCAGTTGAAGAAGAGCACATGTAAATGGATTATAATTGTGCTTAAATTAGGGGACAGATGAAGGTTGAAAAACAACTTAAATTTGTACAATAGCTTAAAAGGCCACAAAGGCTTCCATATGAACCCATGAGGAGAGAAATGATATAAAAACGGACCAGGATTGCAATATAAGATCAGTTTACAAACTATCTCCAAAAGTGAAATATATCTTTCAAACCGTCAATCAACGCGTTATTTCTTAACATCGAACCATAATCCAGTACCAGTGGACCATTGCCGTAGTCTAGTGAGTTGTATCCAAGTCAGTGTACCGACGTTGCAAGGTGAACATAAAAAGTTAGCCTTTACCGCCCAGAGACCTAAAATTATACGTTGGCAAACAAGGTTACTGCGATAACAACGTTTATACTAGCGTCGTGTAGTGAGAAAATTCTGAACTATTGAGCACCAAGCAAAAGGCTTTGACCTACTGAAAAACTATGTGAAAGACAGTAACTTTCTATATGGTCAGGATCTCGAGACATATCACATGCAAGAATTTCACATGTATGCTAACGCTACGTAGTGAGAAAATTCTGAACTACTGTCCACCAGCGACAAGGCTATAGTCTCCTGAAAACTTTGTCCAAGACAGTAACTTTCTTTCTGGTCAGGATCTCGATATAATCCATGTTGCAATCAATTAAGTCAAATCCCACGTAGTATGGTCACATTTTTCGCGGTTTCCATTTACATTTACCCTATTATCCGCATATTTTAGGTGTTTACTGTAATCAAAGTTTATCTTGTTTAGATCAAAACTAGTTTTTTGAGGAATACTCGTTGGTTTCAGATCGATTGGTAACTCAGCAACAAAATGGCAATGGAAAACTCATGTGTGTTGCACAAAGTACAACAGCGCTAGTAACGGAGGGTTAAAAGAAATTTAAATTTATTCCTCTGAGATACACATTTTTGAAAATAAAAAATTTATCCCTGGAATTTAAGAGCTAAGCTAAGCTAAGCTAAGCTAAGTGTCTATCATAAGCGTAGCCAGATGGGGCGGGAGGGGGAGGGGGCAACTGCTCCCGTTAAACTCAGCAACACAAAGGCTTTCGGTAAAATGACATTCGGCCAAATATTCAATAATAATTTTTTTTCGCCCCTCCCTAGCTCGAAATCTGGCTACGCGCTAGGTGTCTATACATTCTTCTGCTAGTCCATTACTCTGGGGTGGAGAGGAACCAGTTTCATGTGCAACATTCCGTTACTCCCTCAATATCCTGCAAAACTTTCGCTGGTGAATTGGGAGCTATTATTTGATACCAGCACCTCCACCATTCCAAATCTGTAGAATATTGTTCGAAGAATCTTTATGGTAACAGCCATTGTGATGCGTTTCGTAGCTATTTATTTCGTTAACTCTGAGAGTGCGTCCACCAGTACCAACCAAAACAATACAACTGTCCCATATAAGTTGGCAATTATGCAAAAATCGGACAGTTAATTGGCAGTGTACATACGGCATTTTATACATACGGCATTTTAATACGTTTCTTTTCCCTTGATTTGTTTTCCATCGATCTTGTTTTCCGTGCTGAGCACCAATGCTACCGACGCCAATGAGGCAGCTCCCACACCTGGACCCTACCGATCGACCCATCAACTCATGAACCGAAAACCAACTGCTTTACTTTCCTTCCGAGGGAACACGTGATCAGAGATGTTATGTCTCTGAACATCCTAGCGGTGCCGACTGGGATCAAACCCCGCCTGCTGGGGTGAGAGGTTATCACGCTTACCACTACATCAACAGCTCCACTTATTTTATACGTTTTGAAAGTTTCAAATTGCATCATGAATTCTTCAGTATATCTAGTCCAAATTGAAGAACGTTGTATCACTCTGCAATTGATTGCAATGCAAAAAAAAAACACAACTGGAACCACCCTAAAATCCATGCAACTGTTGATTCGGCAATACACGCTTCGATGCTGTAAAGCTCTTCTTCTGCGTATAAAATATCCCTACTCACCCGCAATCACCGAGTGAACACACCAAACAATTTCATGAACTCACCACCTGCTCAGAAGCGAATCCCCATCGAACAACAATTCGAGCACTTTCAGTTCACCCATCAGCTGCCCATCTCACGACTTCACCGTCCTCCAGCTCACATCTCACTTCGTCCATGCGCCCTAAACAAAAGCGTCCTTTGCTCCGACGGCGAACCCAACTGTCAATCGCGACGTTTTCCACGTTTTCCCGTACTTTTCAACTCCCACGCTCCCGTTCGCTCCGAAATTTCCATTGCAAAACAGAGAAAAATCCGCTCATTGCTCATTCTCCCGCGACTCTCCACACTCAGGCAAGCAAAGTGTCCGCACGTGAGCAAACGATCGGAGGGATGCTGCAAATCATCCCGTTTTTCGGCTGTCGGAAAATCCTTCCCTCGGTCGAGTCAGTCCGTGGAGAAACGCCTCTTCGAGTGGTTCGTTCGGAATTCTCGCAAAGAATTCGCCGCACGGGAAGACGACCCAATTCGCGCGTGCCAGTGTGCTTTTGTGTTCATGGTGTTGATTTTTCGGTGGTGAAAGAGCAAAAGTTTGGATCACCGAGGATTTCCTTCCGAGAGGTGTTGCTGGTGCGTATTTCATGCTGAAATTAAAGAAAGCGGAAAAAACGATTTTCCCACCGACCAGAATCCCATTAGGTGAAGGTGATTTGCCTCCCCCCATGGAAGTCGTCCGGAATTCCCACGGTCATTACTCGGTGTGTGTAAGCTGCGTCGCTGTCGTCGTCGTCGTCGTATCGCTTCGCAGGGGAGCTTTGCCTGGATTTGACAGTGACAAAATCAACAAACATTCACGCGGAATATCAATTGTGCGGCTGGAAGCTGGGAAAAAAAATAATGGAAAAGCGTCCGAATTCGATTGCGTGAGGGTTGGGTTGGGAATTTGGGACGAAATTTTTTCTCAATTGTGCTTTGGCTTTGAGGGTTTGGTGCTCGTTATTTGCTCGCAGCTTCACCGCCCAGCGTGCGAATCGTTTTGTGGGGTTAATGAATTGAATATCATCGCACGTGCCTTCGCCTGTGACGCGCGGAAATTAAACGATAACACTTCGAGTGTATGTGTGTGTGTGTGTGTGTGCGTGTGAATTGGTGGAAGCTTGAAGTGGTTTGGTTCGAAGAATTTCCCACCTAAAAGTTTCAGTTTTCATTGTTGATGCGGTGGGATGGTGGCTGTGGTATTAAATTTATCGCCGAGTGCCAGAAGGAGAAGTTTCTGATTAAAACAACCGGATTAAAGTGATTACCCCAATCGGGCTTCGGAGTGTTGCTGGAAAATAAACAGGAAACAGTGAGTGGCAGGGAAAGGATCGTGCTCGCGTGCTGGCTAATTTTGCGTTGCGAATGGATGGAAAGGATGTTTGTGAAAGGAAGATAATACGGATCGGAACGAAACGCAGCCTGATGTTGGCTAGTCAGTAAGTGATGCTAATTGATGTCAAAATCCAAAAGGTTGATGCTGATGTTGATGCTAGACACTTTTGACACGTGACCTCTTGCTGATTACGGAGAATATTGCCGGTTGTGGATGGTGGAAACAACAGGCCTATCGATACATTTCTGTTGTTGTTGTTGTTGTCGTTTGAAATAACAGACGATAATACCGGAAACGGACGACCGGGTTTAGGATTTTGCATCATTCAAGGTAAGGTTATATTAAGAATAACAAATATTAAAACCATTTATGGCGAGCATATCGGTTTCGGATGCTCAAACTTCATTGCCAATTTTATCAAATAGCAGCTCTTGAATTTGAAAATGAAATCAAGTGAATATGAAACTGATTTGTTGTCTATAAGTTGTCTCAACAATTAACCATTTCCATTCACACATTTGTTCAGGCTAACAGCTCGATTTTATGTCGGTAAACTTTTTATGATTAATTTAGAACTTCATCCCAAGCAAGAACCGATAACTGACCCGACAAGAACCGATGACATACCAATTTGGTATGATGTCTTATTTTGGTATGCTTATGGTAAAGTATACAAAATAAATGCCAAAATAACAAAACCTTATCTTTCAGTTTTTATACAATACCACCTAAAAAATTATTGGGTTTGGTATTAGAATATATTTCTTGTAACAAATTATGGTATTACGGCATCAAAAATAGAGTTTAGTTTAGGTTAAAGGGTGGGCCATCTTCCTGTTGGATCGCTCGTTTTATGACCAATTGGCTGATCAAGTTGTTGGAAGGAGATTCTTAACTGGCCCAAGGAAATGAATAGGCGAATTGCATGCCAATCCATCCATTTGTTTTTCGCCCTTCATACAGCGGTTTGCTGATGACAATCAGAGGTTATTCAGCTTGATCAATTTCAAAAGTGAGGAGACCCGAGCAGGAACGAATATCTCGATACCTTAAATTGGTATGGATTAGCATGACATAAGAGGTAAAATATAAAAAAAAATCCCACAATACCATTCCAATACCAAATTTTGATGATGCAAAAAAACAAATACCACACAGGTATTCTTTTGGTATCCAAATATCACTTTTTGTTATTTATAAAGTATTTTGCATGAAATTTTTAGGTATTATTCTTTGATATTTTACCTCATATGTCATGCTGATCAATACCAAATTTTGGTATCAGATCAAAATTAGGTATTCATTAGTTATTTTCTCCTGCTCGGGGAGCCTACAGCTGTCTGACTAGTTTTCGTGCTACAATGAGTAGTAGACCACTATCATCATCATCATCATCATCATCATAATCATCATAAAAAAAAGCGTTTAGTATCCGTGAGTCATTATTATACCTGCAATATGTTTTAGTTTGTTATTCGTAGTACATTTTTGGGGTATTGATTTTGGTATTTTACTTCTTATGTCAGGCTTGTGAATACCATATTCAGGTTGCCAGTTATGCTATTATCATACCTGCATTTGGAATTCATAAGTTATTTTCTCCAGCTCGGGATCCCGAGCAGCAACGAATATCTCGATACCTTAAATTGGTAAGGAATAGCCTGACGTAAGAGGTAAACTAAAAAATAATTAAAAAAAATGGTCTTAAAATATCATTCCAATATATAATCAAGCAAATGCATAACCAAAACAAATAAAATTATCCTTTGGGTTTTCAAATACAAAACTTTGTGATTAACAAAGTATTTTGCAGGCATTTTTTTGTATTATTCTTCGGTATTTATCTCTTATTTTAGGTTGATCAACAACAAATTTTGGTATCAGGTCAGAATTAGGTATTCATGAGTTATTTTCTCTTGTTCCCTCAATCATTATTGAATTCTGAAAAGTATTCTTAAGGACTTCCGTGGAGAATTCCATGATAATTCTGAAAATAATACAATGGGCTCTCCCAAGTAACAATTCAAGCTGAACATTAAGAACAGAAGCTGACGATTGGTTGATTTAAGGTTTACGAAGCTTATTAACACCGGGCTGATAGTTGATTAGTGGTGCATAATGCGAATTGTATCCCCATAACTCATCCTTAGTAAGTTAGCTGATATAAAGACTGAACAAGACTTATTTAAGCTTAACACTACTCGACAAATCAGCAATGTGCTACACATATTTTGATAGCCTGATAGAATAACATGAATCTATTACACAATAGTGTTAAATGTTTTCAGTGTCACTTGTTACATTCCCGACACTTAAGTTCTTATAAATTCACTGCCTACCTTTCTAATCGCAAGCAACGCCCGCAGTAGAGATAGCTCCAGGTAGACGTGGACTGCGAGGACGTCGGAAGTATTAACATTTGTATTCCTGTGCTTTGTCTGTCCACCACTTTATATTGCACTTAATTTTCAGACCGCAGTTCACATATACAACTCAAATATGGCATTTACATACCATCCAAATGACCATTGAAATAAATCGCACATTGTGTTTACTGCAGCTGAAAATGAGATGAATGTTATACTGTCACCATTTAGCTGCTCTTCCGGTTGCTATTATTCAACATAAATTTGAGGGGCTAGTTAATGTTAATGTTATTATATAATTACTTTATTTTGTACAGGCTCAATCGAATAAACTTTACAGAGCCGAGTTATCCTTTGCGTTATACATTATTACTGTCTTAAATTTAAAGTTAAAGGAACTGGACCGAGTACTCGCGGTTGTCTCGAGGTTAGTGGAGATTTACAATTTTTTGGATGGGAAAAGGGAAGAAGGAGGTTTGAAATGTGGTTTACGATACAACTATTTAATTAATCCTAAAGCATGAAATTATTTCTTTTCATCTTGAAAACAAACATTGAAAAAAAAACCCACACGTACAAAATACAAACTAAACACAAGGTTAATCAAACTTACAATCTAAGGTTAATATCCTTAAAGTAAACATATATGAGTTTCATAAACTCCAGATCGCGTCTAGCCAAAATATCCCGAACTGGAACATTAGGTTGTCTACCTCGAGCCCGAAGGGAATCATAAAAATGTGATCTGACTCCACGATACTCCACACAAGACCAAAGGATGTGATCAGCGTCCTGGTAACCTTGTCCACATTCACAGAGATTGCTGTCTCCCAACCCCACACGGAACAAGTGAGCGTTTAGACAATAGTGATTGGACATGAGACGAGACATCACGCGTATGAAGTCTCGACTCAAGTCCAACCCTTTGAACCATGCAAACTTTGACACCTTAGGGATAATTGAATGTAGCCATCGTCCCAAGCTCCCTTCACTCCATTGATGTTGCCAGCTAACGAGCGACTGCTGACGATAAAAAGAAAAAAATTCACTATAGGCGATCTGTCGATCATAAATGTCACCTTCCATAGCGCCCACCTTCGCAAGTGAATCCGCCTTCTCATTGCCCAAAATTGAGCAATGCGAAGGGACCCACGCGAAGGTGATGATGAAAGAGCGCACGGATAAAGTACTAAGCAGTTCTCATATTTTCAAGAGAAAATACGAGAAGTGCTTTACCGGCCTAATGGAACGGATAGCCTCGACAGAACTGAGACTATCCGTAAAAATAAAGTAGTGGGCTGGAAGAAGTGAAGCAATAGTTTCCAAAGTGTAGTGAATTGCTGCCAGTTCAGCCACATACACAGAACAAGGAGCTTCAAGTTTTTGGGAGGCGCTATGAAATTCATTAAATACACCAAAACCAGCGGACTCCTCTATTAGAGATCCATCTGTGAAAAACGTTCTTGCAGAATCAACATGGCCAAACTTTGCAGCGTATAATGACGGAGCAATCATAGGACGATGATGCTCTGGAATTCCGCGGATTTCCTGCGTCATAGATAAATCAAAATTCACTGAATTGCCGAAATCGGAGAAGACTACACGATTGGGAATATTTCTTGAAGGGCTGACATCCTGTGTTAAATAAAGGTAGTACAAAGTCATAAAACATGTTTGAGGATTTAGCTCCAGAAGCTTCTCAAAGTTTTCGATCACCAGTGGGTTCATTACTTCGCAACGGGTGAGGAGCCTCAGAGATAACTCTGAAAATCGGACGGATAGTGGCAACATGCCCGCCAGCACTTCGAGACTCATAGTATGAGTCGAGTGCATGCATCCTAACGCGATACGAAGACAACGATACTGGATCCGTTCCAGCTTGATGATGTGCG